CAAGTGGGATTTATTCCTGGGCAGTAGGGCTGGTTCAATATTCACAAATCAATCAATGTGATACACCACATTAATAAAAGAAAAGATAAGAACCACATGATCCTGTCAATAGATGCAGAAGTATTGACAAGATACAACATCCATTCTTGATAAAAACCATCAATAAAATAATGGATGGAATATACCTTGCCATCATAAATGCCATATACAAAAGACCCATAGTTAATATCATCCTCAATGGGGAAAAAGTGAAAGCCTTTCCCCAAAAGTCAGGAACAAGACAAGGATGCCCACTCTCACCATTACTGTTCAATATAGTATTGGAAGTCTTAGCCTTAGCAGACAACGAAAAGAAATAAAGGGAATACAAAGTGGTAAGGAAGAAGTCACACATTTGCTATTTGCAGACGATATGATCCTCTATGTAGAAAACTCTTAAAAGAGTCCACCCCAAAATTGCTGTAACTAATACATAAATTCAGCAAAGTTGCAGGATACAAAATCAACTTGTGGAAATCTGTTGCATTTCTATACACCAATAACAAAGCAGCAGAAAAACCAAGGAATCAATTCCATTTACAATTGCACCAAAAACAATAAGTTACCTAGGAGTAAATCCAGCTAAAGAGGTAAAACATCTGTACCCTGAAAACTTATGAAAAAAATTGAAGAAACACAAAGAAATGGGAAAACATTTCATGCTCATGGATTGGAAGAATAAACATTGTTAAAATGCCTTTATTACCCAAAGTAATCTACACATTTAATGCAATTCCTATCAAAATACCATCAGCATTCTTCACAGCGCTAGATCAGTGTTAAAATTTGTATGGAACCACAAAAGCCCCCGAATAGCCAAAGCAATCCTGAAAAAGAAAAACAAAATTTGAGGCATCATGATTCTGGATTTCAACCTATATTACAAAGCTGTAGTCATCAAGGCAATATGGTACCTGCACAAAAACAGACAGATGAATGGAACAGAATATAAAACCCAGAAACGGACGCACAACTCTATGGTTAACTCATTTTTGACAAAGCAAGAAAGAATATCCAATGTAAGAGCAGAATTCTTGTTTTGTTTCTGATTTTAGAGGGAAAGCATTCACTTTCACCATCAAGTATTCATGCCAGATGTAAGTTTTTGAAATGTTCTTTACAGATCAAAAATGTTTCAAACTTTGCCACAGTGGCAGTATCGTAGCCAATGAGGCTTATCTGAAGCGTGATTATTGCTAATTGAAAGCTTTTCATAGATCAAAGATGTTTTTGATGAATCGCAGTTCACTAAGAACTTTTATCAAGAAGGGATGTTGGTTAGAATGTATTTTAATATGTGCAGGTATATTACGTATAACTTAGATTCTTATGTGCCAACTTGGGCATTTACATCATCTAACAGGGTTTAAATGGGAAAACTAATGCCAAATTTCAAGCAACCTGGTTCTGAGAAAAGTTTTGCCCTTAACTTACATTCCATTTGTTAGTTGAGAGTTTGCTATACTAATGTTTCCTTTTTTAAGGAATTATCATGTAAACAGCATCAATAATTAAGCCCTACAAAGGGCCTGACAAAATAAAAACTGTTTCTCCGCATCTGGTGTTTTCATGGCAGCATACACTAGTGATGCAAATGGAATATGAGTATTTCCTTAGAAAAACACAGGGAATGAATCTATAAGCTTCATCAATGCAGCCTTTAGTAGCCTATGGCATGTGATCTGAAGTTAGTTGTTTGCCAAGGTGACTCTCCATCTCACAGATTTCTGTTCACTGGTAGAGGCTACTCTCTGCTCTAGAGGGTGACTTGTTCCCATCAAACTGTGTAAGAGAAAACCACAAGTGGGAAGTAATTGGTCCTCATGGCTGCTGAATATCCATATACTGTTTTAATTTCTCTCTTTCTGCTGCCAGGATCCTGAAGGCATTTTGCTCTCACTGCCACTCACCTCAAAATCTGCTCTCCAGTGTCCTACAAATTCCACTCACTATCGTATTAAGATCAAGTTATAGAAATAAAATTCCCTCTCTCCTTATTTCAGCCAGCATATTATTTTATACATTTAAGAGGAAAATTTCTGAGTAAAAAAAAGAGAACAAAATCAAAGAAAAAAGCATGTCTTCAGAATACAAGTATCTTATTTCAAGATAATTAAAACATTTACTTAAAAGTTTTTTTGAATAATATAGTTTACTGAATTCATGTACTACTTCCCATGAATAAACCCTTCCCCTGCATTTCAGTCATGCCAGGACTAACTCTTTCCCAAACTTCCCATTTCTTTTTCAGTTCTCAGTCACCCTTTCCTTCAACTCCTCACTTTTCTTTGGATGGCAGGTGTGACAGCTCTGTACAGGTGAATTACTTCCAGTGCAGAAAGAATTTAATAAACTTCGTAAGGCATATATTGTGATAGTAACATTTCTTTCCATTCTTATGAATACTCCTCCTAAGTCAACTTATACATTATAGAAGAGAACTTTGATATCCAAATAAGGGGTTATTAATCTTTGACTTGGGTGAACATGCAGTTAGCTCTAAATTTTATTCTTAGTGTATTCTGGGCCAGACTTCTGGAGTAAGGCAGAACATCAGAAAGCTAATATTTGTATCAAAATTCTTAGATCTGGGAAGAATTGCTTTTCTTCTATATAATGCCTTTGAATCTTACTGAGAAATGTTATGAGAAGCAGCTATATAGAACCAGATTATATCTATGTATATCTGTGTCTGTCTATCTATCATCACCTATATCAGATACTTTGGAGGGTCAATATTCACTGTATTTCTTAGTTTCCTTAGTATGAATCCCCATGAAAGAAATTGTTACAGCATTAAGAGTCATTAATTTAGCTTTCCCTGAACCCACGTGTTTTCTTCTCATAGTTAATAAAAATCATACAGCAAATAATGTTTCCCCATTCTTCACTTTGTTTTAAAGGTAGTTCATAACATATTTAGTGGCTTGCTTTAATACAAACATAAAATCTTATCCAAAAATTGTCATTCTATTTTTTTCTTTCTAAGTTGATATTTCTCTTATTTTTTCTTTCATTGCACTTTTCTTTCAGTACATCAGATCCTTAATGTAACAAGGTGGAATATAGTATAATAAAGGCACATATAAATAAACGTGTAACTAAATAAATAGTTCCAAGATAAGAAGAGCTTCTGAAGTGGAAAGGATTTTATTAAGATGGAATTTTTATTAAGCCTTCCTCTATGGTATTAAGCAGGCTTTCCCAGGAGTTCAGATAAAACACTATTTATTGTGTTTTAGAGGGTTCTAGATGATCTGATCCTGCCTATCTCTCTAGCCTCCTATACCATTTTCATTTTGGGTAGCCAAATAAATTATTTAATATTCTTTGAAAACCACAAACTTTAACCTATACTTACATGGGATTTGGTTCCCCTAGAACTTTGCATAGCATATTTTATGACTTTGAAATATCACCTCCTAACAAAGGCACTCTCGAGCCATGTCATCTAAATTACCCACTATCCTACCCAAAACTTTTCTATATTCATATATTCATCTTTTATTGCGATATAATTGATATATATAACATTATGTTAGTTTCAGGGATGCAATGTAATGTTTCAGTACCTGTGTAATTATAAAGTTACCACTACAATAAATTTAGTTAACATCTGTCATCACACATAGTTACAAATTTTCTTTTCTCCTTTCTTTTGGAATTGACTAACTGGAATTATAGATTTATGTGTTTAGCTGATTATTATCCATCTCCCTCACTAGAATGTAAATTTCACAAAGGCAGGGGATTTATCTTCCACACTGATGTAATTCAGGGCACATCACAGAGTAAATAAATGTTTATGGAATGAATTAGTGAAATGCACCAAGTAAACTGAGCACTTTATTTTTGACCAAATAGTTGGGCCAAATAACAAGGAGTGGTTGTCAAATTTCTCTGCATCTGTTTATATCTCAGTCTCTGGGAATCATGAATCACTGGTTTTTGCTCTCTGCTTTTACCTCTTTAGGTCTCTGTGTCAATTCACCCTTCCCTCACACAAAACTAACCCAAACTGTAATGCCACTATATTATGGTCTTGTTTAAAAATGTAAACCTGTTTCCAGGTGTTTTAATAATTTTGCACAGGTAAGAAGAATGTAATCTAGTCCTTAATTTATAAATGGAGGATTTCAAAATCGATGCAGGAAAATAAACTTCTGCTACTTTCATGAATGTTTGACTCACCTATAGTGTTCACTGTAACTCCTTTCACTTTTCTCAGCTAATGTGGGGTTTGTATTTCTCTATGTCACATATTTATTTAAAATAGTGGCGCTTTCAGATCAGTTTGTGGATTGTGCTGGTCTAGGTGTACCAGAACCACCTGAGTAACATTTAAATAAGGATTTCCAGGAGTCCAATTCAAGATTCTGATTTAGATATGGAGAAAGTACTGGGAATCTGTTCTTTTAAAGAGCTCCTAAATAATTATGAAGCAGACAAGTTAAGGAGACAGTGCTTTTAATTATTATTAGTCGTTTGGATGTCAATTAAATAAAAATTTTGGCTCAATTATGATTTGGTTGGCACTAATTTCCCTTGAATTTAGTGAGCTAAAAGGGTGTGAATAGTCTTCTAAGGAGTAGAGCAGAGATGTTTAAACAAGCAAAACCAAGTGCAAGAATGGATGCACTTAATAGAAGTCAAAAAAGGGAGGAGTCCAGGGACTAAAATGGGCAAGCAATTATTGGAGGAAGGAATAAAAGAAGAATCTAAAGTCCAGAAATTCAGGTCATTTAAGTCTAATTAACAATGTATGAAATCCTTATTTGAGTGCAAGGTATGATTTAATTGAGCATACTATTGTCCATTATGTAACTAGACAGAAATAGATGAATTTGAGTCTGTGTTTGAGTCTGCAAATGAATAAAGACCTACTTCTTAAGTGGGAATGGAAGTGGAGAAAAAGAATTAATTCTGATTTTGACCTACTCATGAGTTCTCATTCTCTTTGACTAATTTTTGTGCATATGAATTTTTCTCAAGGCAGCCTTCACGTCATTGTTCCAGAGACTGTAGATCAGTGGGTTTATAAGTGGGGTCACTGATGAGTAGAACAAGGTTACAATCTTCTGTATCCCAGCTGCATTTTCAGAGGTTGGGCTGATGTACATGACCATGATGGATCCATA